TCAATACCAAGTCCAATGTTGACGGTTAGTGGCCTGTTCCAAATCTGGTGGGATCCTTCAAGTGATTATACATCGGATGTGAGTTTATGAACTGTAATAAGTTTCGCTCAAAAGGGTGGTGACAGTTCTGGCTTTTTATCAAATTGGGACAATTGAAGTCCTTCATTATGAGAACATGAGTGAACTTTACCGAGAGAATATTTATCATAGTCTACAAGAGTGCCTCGTTAGCTAAGTCTGAGGATGCAGGAGGGCGGCAGACTACACCGATCTTTGGACAGCCTCATTGTGAACCAAAGTGTGCATCGAAGAGATCGAGTGGTTCACATTGAAGGTTGTTACGGAAATATAGCAGCACACCGTCACCCCGTGTAGAACGATCACGCCTCATCAGCGACATTCCGGGTAGGTGCAATTTAGAATCGAGAATATCGGCAGTCAACCAAGTTTCGGTAATGGCAACAAGATCCCACTGACCAGTTTGCAAGCGCATTTGAACCTCAGGGAGTTTGCTAAGGAAGCCTTATGCGTTTGTGTAAAAACAAGCTAGGGGGTGTCTGTTTAGGAATCCGCTGGGTTTCGAATCGTCATTTATGCCGACTACTCTGCGGTCGGCTAGCAGTAGTTTCTTGGGGAATCGGTTCTGCAGGTGTATAATAAAAAAACCAGTGCATCAACAAAAACCCTATCCAGACAGCCGCTGTAAAGCTGTATCGACTTTGCTTTTGCGGTGGGATCGTTAACTTTTAATTGTGCTTGAAACAAGAGAAAAGGATATGCGCCTGGGTACAATTCTAACCCAAAGCTTGCAAAGGATCAGTGGAACAAGAACAACGTTTTTATTTCTTTACTGTACTCCTACGATATTTTTTCCTCTATTTTGTGTTTGTTTGTTCTTTGTGGGAAACGGGATTTCAATGGCGTTCCTAGCCTCGCGATAAAGTGTGAGGCACCAATCGAAGACAAAGCTGAGGCTAATTTATTTATACCTCCAGGCCAAGTCATGATTAGACTACAGCAGCTTTTCTTCCAGCCTTGCCCAACCCTTGACAAGAGAGTGTGGAGCGGTAGATACCCACAGTAGTGAATTACTAGTCTTTCTAACCCAATGGAGTTTGCCTACGAGGAACTATTCTGGAAACANACCCTTAACCATTAGAATGACGAATTATTTAAGTGACTATAGATCGCTTCGATATGTCTGTCTGTATCATTATTCATTATTTGGCTCTATTCATTTGAAAAAATTGAAACTTTGGGATGCCGAGCCCGATGGCCTAACAACTGCATCGGACTTGGAAAATTTCACCCGAACACAAGTATTATACCTAAATTAAAGTGGAATTTACAGTATTCTGGATATCTTCTAAACTGCACACAACACCGCTAGTGGATTGGATTACTGAGCAGGACCGACACGGCCGTAGTGCTGTGATTGTGTCAGGTGTGTACACAAACAAACCCCGTGAGTACAGTTGTCCCCGTCGTGGTGAGAAAAAGTTAAAGCGGGGGTGGGGTGGAAATGGGGAACCGCGTGGGATCACAAAATGGGCCGTGTCATAAGGTGAACCGGAAAGTGAAGCCGGTCGAGGTGAACTGACTCACCCAAATATCCATTTCCGGATAGCAATGATTGACACAAAGATATTCAATCCATGTGGCAAACCCTTCTTTAAGCCACAAATCAGTCCACCAGCGCATTGTGACCAGGTTACCAAACCACATGTGAGCCAGTTCATGGCTCACTGTGAGAGCGATCCTTTCCTTGGACCACGCAGAAGCCGTTTCTTTGTCAGCAAGCAGAGCCCGCTCACTATTAATGAAGACAAGAAAAACAAATCAGAAATATCAGTTAATTACCAAACAATAAGTAACAGAAAACCCCACACTTACGTCATTGGCAGATACAGTGAATGCTAAAATCATAAAGATACCGAATTCTTTTATCCATTTTCGAAAACCACAATCAATCATAACCAGAACCGCCATAAACAACAGGTGAAAATACTTGATACCCGAGTAAGTAGAATAATATCCATAAAAACATCCAAACACGTTTTCTCTGCATATTGTTGATAAGTGCTTTCCAAATCTTGATTGCAATCTTTTGCAGTCTGCTTTCAGGGAGGGGGCTGGGAGCTCAGCAGGACAATGCTTAGATAGTTCGGTATACTGGTCAGAGGATCTCAATCGGGTTGAGATCCGAACTGCAAATGGACCACTCCGAAACATGGATTGCACGAAAAAGTAGCCGTTTTCGTTNATTTACGATCGATGAGTTGTGGTATTGTGTTGAACTGATGCCATTCCATTCATCTTTGAGTTGGCAAATAGCAGGAGAGTGTTTTCGAGTGTATCTGTATGGTCCGTTGCACTCGGAATGTCATGAAAGAGTTTTAGCTGACTCAACTCAACTGCGGCAAACATCCCAGGTCATGACCAATCGATATATTGATTTCTGGATACGATTTCTTTCTTGAACTCATACCAGATCCATCCAGGTTGAATATGTACTCACCAAAAAACATCCCCCCATCCGATTGATGCGTTCAACGTGATTTTCGGTACACCGTAGTCGATTCAGAGTTTGACGTTGAATCAGCCAAC